CTCCTTAATAATGCATTATGCACGTGTTAGAAAATTTTACTCCGAAATTTAATAACATAGAACGTAACAAGGAATATCTCCAAACGGAGTTTTCTTAGAGGGTGAGAGGTTCTTTAATAAGACCTAATGATTAAAATTAACCGGACTGCTAGCGAGGAATCGAGAGTGGGAATAAAATAAAAGCGAAATAAATTCTAAGATAACGAAAAAGTGGTACAGAAAGCTAATGTCCTAACACGGAGTCTAGGAAAAACCTGTGAACCAAATAAGCAGAATGGCACCCGTGCATGAAGTGTTAAAATAAATACCGTTCTAGAATGCCTGCGGAGGCATTTTACTCCTTAATAATGCATTATGCACGTGTTAGAAAATTTTACTCCGAAATTTAATAACATAGAACGTAACAAGGAATATCTCCAAACGGAGTTTTCTTAGAGGGTGAGAGGTTCTTTAATAAGACCTAATGATTAAAATTAACCGGACTGCTAGCGAGGAATCGAGAGTGGGAATAAAATAAAAGCGAAATAAATTCTAAGATAACGAAAAAGTGGTACAGAAAGCTAATGTCCTAACACGGAGTCTAGGAAAAACCTGTGAACCAAATAAGCAGAATGGCACCCGTGCATGAAGTGTTAAAATAAATACCGTTCTAGAATGCCTGCGGAGGCATTTTACTCCTTAATAATGCATTATGCACGTGTTAGAAAATTTTACTCCGAAATTTAATAACATAGAACGTAACAAGGAATATCTCCAAACGGAGTTTTCTTAGAGGGTGAGAGGTTCTTTAATAAGACCTAATGATTAAAATTAACCGGACTGCTAGCGAGGAATCGAGAGTGGGAATAAAATAAAAGCGAAATAAATTCTAAGATAACGAAAAAGTGGTACAGAAAGCTAATGTCCTAACACGGAGTCTAGGAAAAACCTGTGAACCAAATAAGCAGAATGGCACCCGTGCATGAAGTGTTAAAATAAATACCGTTCTAGAATGCCTGCGGAGGCATTTTACTCCTTAATAATGCATTATGCACGTGTTAGAAAATTTTACTCCGAAATTTAATAACATAGAACGTAACAAGGAATATCTCCAAACGGAGTTTTCTTAGAGGGTGAGAGGTTCTTTAATAAGACCTAATGATTAAAATTAACCGGACTGCTAGCGAGGAATCGAGAGTGGGAATAAAATAAAAGCGAAATAAATTCTAAGATAACGAAAAAGTGGTACAGAAAGCTAATGTCCTAACACGGAGTCTAGGAAAAACCTGTGAACCAAATAAGCAGAATGGCACCCGTGCATGAAGTGTTAAAATAAATACCGTTCTAGAATGCCTGCGGAGGCATTTTACTCCTTAATAATGCATTATGCACGTGTTAGAAAATTTTACTCCGAAATTTAATAACATAGAACGTAACAAGGAATATCTCCAAACGGAGTTTTCTTAGAGGGTGAGAGGTTCTTTAATAAGACCTAATGATTAAAATTAACCGGACTGCTAGCGAGGAATCGAGAGTGGGAATAAAATAAAAGCGAAATAAATTCTAAGATAACGAAAAAGTGGTACAGAAAGCTAATGTCCTAACACGGAGTCTAGGAAAAACCTGTGAACCAAATAAGCAGAATGGCACCCGTGCATGAAGTGTTAAAATAAATACCGTTCTAGAATGCCTGCGGAGGCATTTTACTCCTTAATAATGCATTATGCACGTGTTAGAAAATTTTACTCCGAAATTTAATAACATAGAACGTAACAAGGAATATCTCCAAACGGAGTTTTCTTAGAGGGTGAGAGGTTCTTTAATAAGACCTAATGATTAAAATTAACCGGACTGCTAGCGAGGAATCGAGAGTGGGAATAAAATAAAAGCGAAATAAATTCTAAGATAACGAAAAAGTGGTACAGAAAGCTAATGTCCTAACACGGAGTCTAGGAAAAACCTGTGAACCAAATAAGCAGAATGGCACCCGTGCATGAAGTGTTAAAATAAATACCGTTCTAGAATGCCTGCGGAGGCATTTTACTCCTTAATAATGCATTATGCACGTGTTAGAAAATTTTACTCCGAAATTTAATAACATAGAACGTAACAAGGAATATCTCCAAACGGAGTTTTCTTAGAGGGTGAGAGGTTCTTTAATAAGACCTAATGATTAAAATTAACCGGACTGCTAGCGAGGAATCGAGAGTGGGAATAAAATAAAAGCGAAATAAATTCTAAGATAACGAAAAAGTGGTACAGAAAGCTAATGTCCTAACACGGAGTCTAGGAAAAACCTGTGAACCAAATAAGCAGAATGGCACCCGTGCATGAAGTGTTAAAATAAATACCGTTCTAGAATGCCTGCGGAGGCATTTTACTCCTTAATAATGCATTATGCACGTGTTAGAAAATTTTACTCCGAAATTTAATAACATAGAACGTAACAAGGAATATCTCCAAACGGAGTTTTCTTAGAGGGTGAGAGGTTCTTTAATAAGACCTAATGATTAAAATTAACCGGACTGCTAGCGAGGAATCGAGAGTGGGAATAAAATAAAAGCGAAATAAATTCTAAGATAACGAAAAAGTGGTACAGAAAGCTAATGTCCTAACACGGAGTCTAGGAAAAACCTGTGAACCAAATAAGCAGAATGGCACCCGTGCATGAAGTGTTAAAATAAATACCGTTCTAGAATGCCTGCGGAGGCATTTTACTCCTTAATAATGCATTATGCACGTGTTAGAAAATTTTACTCCGAAATTTAATAACATAGAACGTAACAAGGAATATCTCCAAACGGAGTTTTCTTAGAGGGTGAGAGGTTCTTTAATAAGACCTAATGATTAAAATTAACCGGACTGCTAGCGAGGAATCGAGAGTGGGAATAAAATAAAAGCGAAATAAATTCTAAGATAACGAAAAAGTGGTACAGAAAGCTAATGTCCTAACACGGAGTCTAGGAAAAACCTGTGAACCAAATAAGCAGAATGGCACCCGTGCATGAAGTGTTAAAATAAATACCGTTCTAGAATGCCTGCGGAGGCATTTTACTCCTTAATAATGCATTATGCACGTGTTAGAAAATTTTACTCCGAAATTTAATAACATAGAACGTAACAAGGAATATCTCCAAACGGAGTTTTCTTAGAGGGTGAGAGGTTCTTTAATAAGACCTAATGATTAAAATTAACCGGACTGCTAGCGAGGAATCGAGAGTGGGAATAAAATAAAAGCGAAATAAATTCTAAGATAACGAAAAAGTGGTACAGAAAGCTAATGTCCTAACACGGAGTCTAGGAAAAACCTGTGAACCAAATAAGCAGAATGGCACCCGTGCATGAAGTGTTAAAATAAATACCGTTCTAGAATGCCTGCGGAGGCATTTTACTCCTTAATAATGCATTATGCACGTGTTAGAAAATTTTACTCCGAAATTTAATAACATGCCCCGCTTACTAGTTTAGCTCTTTCTAGTCCCCTGCTACACGGCATGTAAACAGGGATTGGCTAGTTAGAGGCGGTCCGTGTAGGCCTTACACTGTGCTTTCAGCAATACTCATAGAACGTAACAAGGAATATCTCCAAACGGAGTTTTCTTAGAGGGTGAGAGGTTCTTTAATAAGACCTAATGATTAAAATTAACCGGACTGCTAGCGAGGAATCGAGAGTGGGAATAAAATAAAAGCGAAATAAATTCTAAGATAACGAAAAAGTGGTACAGAAAGCTAATGTCCTAACACGGAGTCTAGGAAAAACCTGTGAACCAAATAAGCAGAATGGCACCCGTGCATGAAGTGTTAAAATAAATACCGTTCTAGAATGCCTGCGGAGGCATTTTACTCCTTAATAATGCATTATGCACGTGTTAGAAAATTTTACTCCGAAATAGAACGTAACAAGGAATATCTCCAAACGGAGTTTTCTTAGAGGGTGAGATGTTCTTTAATAAGACCTAATGATTAAAATTAACCGGACTGCTAGCGAGGAATCGAGAGTGGGAATAAAATAAAAGCGAAATAAATTCTAAGATAACGAAAAAGTGGTACAGAAAGCTAATGTCCTAACACGGAGTCTAGGAAAAACCTGTGAACCAAATAAGCAGAATGGCACCCGTGCATGAAGTGTTAAAATAAATACCGTTCTAGAATGCCTGCGGAGGCATTTTACTCCTTAATAATGCATTATGCACGTGTTAGAAAATTTTACTCCGAAATTTAATAACATAGAACGTAACAAGGAATATCTCCAAACGGAGTTTTCTTAGAGGGTGAGAGGTTCTTTAATAAGACCTAATGATTAAAATTAACCGGACTGCTAGCGAGGAATCGAGAGTGGGAATAAAATAAAAGCGAAATAAATTCTAAGATAACGAAAAAGTGGTACAGAAAGCTAATGTCCTAACACGGAGTCTAGGAAAAACCTGTGAACCAAATAAGCAGAATGGCACCCGTGCATGAAGTGTTAAAATAAATACCGTTCTAGAATGCCTGCGGAGGCATTTTACTCCTTAATAATGCATTATGCACGTGTTAGAAAATTTTACTCCGAAATTTAATAACATAGAACGTAACAAGGAATATCTCCAAACGGAGTTTTCTTAGAGGGTGAGAGGTTCTTTAATAAGACCTAATGATTAAAATTAACCGGACTGCTAGCGAGGAATCGAGAGTGGGAATAAAATCAACACTAGTAGATTCAGAGTGCTGGCAGCACATCCTGTGTTGTAGTGCATTTAGTAAATCCCAAGAGCTTGTCGCTGAAGCAATTGCCAGATTAGCCAGGCGTGTATGTACTGAAGATGTAGATTTCAAATCAATAGCAGTGCTCACAGCTGGTAGGCTTGTCCCCTTAGATAAATGTCCAGGCCTAAGACCAATTGGTATTGGTGAGATCCTGAGACGGATTATTGGGAAGTGTGTGATGATGGTATTAAAAAAAAAAAGATATTCAGAAGAATGCTGGACCACTTCAAACATGTGCAGGCCATGAAGGGGGGATCGAGGCAGCAATACATGCTATGGCAGAGGTGCACGATGATGAGGACACGGAAGCCATTTTGTTAGTGGATGCTTCCAACGCATTCAACGCTCTCAATAGGACTGCTGCTACCAACAACATGCAGTATGTTTGCCCACCACTTGCTAAATATTTTGAGAACACCTACAGAGAACCAACAGACCTTTATGTGGCAAACAGCAAGGGAGTGATCATCAAGAGCTGCGAAGGTTTCACTCAAGGAGACAATATTGCCACTGGTGGATATGCTCTTAGCACCAAGCCACTTATCGACCGCCTGAGAAACATCATCAAACAGGTGTGGTTTGCCGATGATAGTGCTGCTGGAGGGAAATTGGAGGCAGTGTATAAGTGGTGGAAGGAGTTGCTCCAAGTTGGACCTAAGTATGGTTATTTTCCTAACCCATCTAAAAGCATTCTAGTAGTGAAGGACCCTCAGATGATCGACCAGGCCAAGGCATTGTTTGGAGAGTTCAATATGCAAATAACATCAGGCACAAGGCATCTTGGTGCAGTACTTGGCAATACAGGTGTCAAAGATCAGTACATTGCCGATAAGGTCCAAGGGTGGTGCGAAGACATCAAGATGCTAGCTGATATTGCAGAATCTGAGCCTCAAGCAGCCTATTCAGCCTACATCTCTGGCATACAACACCGATGGAAGTTTGTTCAAAGGACTGTTCCTCATATCTCTGAAGCCATGGAGCCGCTAGAACATGAAATAAGACAAAAGCTTCTGCCAAAGATGCTGGGCAGGGAGATTTCAGACTTAGAGAGGGACGTGTTAAGTCTACCAATAAGATTGGGAGGATTGGGCATTGGTAAACCCCACGAGGAATGCCAGTCTGAGTACACAGCTTCCAAGCTACTCACCACCGAGCTTACAAAGGCAATAGTGGACCAACAGGAAGTTTACACTGCATCCAGTAACCTCACCAAATCAGGGAAAGAAATGATAAAAAATTTGAAGAATTCCGAGCTCCAAGCCAAGTTTAACGCTATAGCTGAAAGATGTGGCACCTCCTCTAAGAGAGCACTACTAACAGCAAGAGAAAAGGGAGCGTCCAGTTGGCTTAACACATTGCCACTTCAGCAGTATGGCTACACTCTGAACAAAGAGGAGTTTCGAGACAGTGTCTGCTTACGCTACAGTTGGTGGATACCAAACACTCCCATCACCTGTGGATGTGGGAAAACAAGTGATCTTGACCACCTTCTCACCTGTAAGCTAGGGGGCTACGTGATAATGACCCACAACAACATCAGAGACACAATGGCAAATCTACTTCGTGAGGTATGTCATGATGTAAAAGTTGAACCCCAGCTACAGAAGGTGAATGAGGGTGACTGCCTCAACCCCAAGACTATAACAGGTGACCAAGCTCGGCTTGATGTATCTGCTAGAGGAGTTTGGACTCCATTTGATAAGACCTTTCTTGACATAAGGGTTTCACACCCCAATTGCTTATCAAACAGGACAAAAACTCTTCAAGAAGTATACGAAGAGAACGAGAAAGAGAAGAAGGACGAGTACTTGGAGAGAGTGTTGAATGTGGAGAAGGCTACCTTCACCCCGGCTGTATTCCTCACATCTGGAGGAATGTCTAAAGAGTGTAAGCAGTTCGTCAACAGAGTAGCAGACCTCATTGCAAGAAAAAGGAAGGAAAGGTACTGCGATGTAGTAAGACACGTGAGAACTAGGATAAGATTTGCAATGTTGAGAACAACTCTTATTGCTCTACGAGGGTACCGAGGAAAGAAGGTGGACACCAAACGTGAGATTCAGCTATCAGAAGTTTCATACAACCTCATCCCTGCCCCTATAATGGAGTAGATCATGTGTTTTGTTAAAATGTTTTTGAAAAAATTATTAGTAGCAATGAATTGTGCTCTGCCAATTGCAACACTTAAAATTTGATTGTGCTCTGCCAATTGCATCACTTGATTTAATTGAATGTATATATATACTGTTTGACAAAAGTTATTATTTATATACACATAATATAATCTGCAATTGTCATCTCAAAAAAATAAATTCTAAGATAACGAAAAAGTGGTACAGAAAGCTAATGTCCTAACACGGAGTCTAGGAAAAACCTGTGAACCAAATAAGCAGAATGGCACCCGTGCATGAAGTGTTAAAATAAATACCGTTCTAGAATGCCTGCGGAGGCATTTTACTCCTTAATAATGCATTATGCACGTGTTAGAAAATTTTACTCCGAAATTTAATAACATAGAACGTAACAAGGAATATCTCCAAACGGAGTTTTCTTAGAGGGTGAGAGGTTCTTTAATAAGACCTAATGATTAAAATTAACCGGACTGCTAGCGAGGAATCGAGAGTGGGAATAAAATAAAAGCGAAATAAATTCTAAGATAACGAAAAAGTGGTACAGAAAGCTAATGTCCTAACACGGAGTCTAGGAAAAACCTGTGAACCAAATAAGCAGAATGGCACCCGTGCATGAAGTGTTAAAATAAATACCGTTCTAGAATGCCTGCGGAGGCATTTTACTCCTTAATAATGCATTATGCACGTGTTAGAAAATTTTACTCCGAAATTTAATAACATAGAACGTAACAAGGAATATCTCCAAACGGAGTTTTCTTAGAGGATGAGAGGTTCTTTAATAAGACCTAATGATTAAAATTAACCGGACTGCTAGCGAGGAATCGAGAGTGGGAATAAAATAAAAGCGAAATAAATTCTAAGATAACGAAAAAGTGGTACAGAAAGCTAATGTCCTAACACGGAGTCTAGGAAAAACCTGTGAACCAAATAAGCAGAATGGCACCCGTGCATGAAGTGTTAAAATAAATACCGTTCTAGAATGCCTGCGGAGGCATTTTACTCCTTAATAATGCATTATGCACGTGTTAGAAAATTTTACTCCGAAATTTAATAACATAGAACGTAACAAGGAATATCTCCAAACGGAGTTTTCTTAGAGGGTGAGAGGTTCTTTAATAAGACCTAATGATTAAAATTAACCGGACTGCTAGCGAGGAATCGAGAGTGGGAATAAAATAAAAGCGAAATAAATTCTAAGATAACGAAAAAGTGGTACAGAAAGCTAATGTCCTAACACGGAGTCTAGGAAAAACCTGTGAACCAAATAAGCAGAATGGCACCCGTGCATGAAGTGTTAAAATAAATACCGTTCTAGAATGCCTGCGGAGGCATTTTACTCCTTAATAATGCATTATGCACGTGTTAGAAAATTTTACTCCGAAATTTAATAACATAGAACGTAACAAGGAATATCTCCAAACGGAGTTTTCTTAGAGGGTGAGAGGTTCTTTAATAAGACCTAATGATTAAAATTAACCGGACTGCTAGCGAGGAATCGAGAGTGGGAATAAAATAAAAGCGAAATAAATTCTAAGATAACGAAAAAGTGGTACAGAAAGCTAATGTCCTAACACGGAGTCTAGGAAAAACCTGTGAACCAAATAAGCAGAATGGCACCCGTGCATGAAGTGTTAAAATAAATACCGTTCTAGAATGCCTGCGGAGGCATTTTACTCCTTAATAATGCATTATGCACGTGTTAGAAAATTTTACTCCGAAATTTAATAACATAGAACGTAACAAGGAATATCTCCAAACGGAGTTTTCTTAGAGGGTGAGAGGTTCTTTAATAAGACCTAATGATTAAAATTAACCGGACTGCTAGCGAGGAATCGAGAGTGGGAATAAAATAAAAGCGAAATAAATTCTAAGATAACGAAAAAGTGGTACAGAAAGCTAATGTCCTAACACGGAGTCTAGGAAAAACCTGTGAACCAAATAAGCAGAATGGCACCCGTGCATGAAGTGTTAAAATAAATACCGTTCTAGAATGCCTGCGGAGGCATTTTACTCCTTAATAATGCATTATGCACGTGTTAGAAAATTTTACTCCGAAATTTAATAACATAGAACGTAACAAGGAATATCTCCAAACGGAGTTTTCTTAGAGGGTGAGAGGTTCTTTAATAAGACCTAATGATTAAAATTAACCGGACTGCTAGCGAGGAATCGAGAGTGGGAATAAAATAAAAGCGAAATAAATTCTAAGATAACGAAAAAGTGGTACAGAAAGCTAATGTCCTAACACGGAGTCTAGGAAAAACCTGTGAACCAAATAAGCAGAATGGCACCCGTGCATGAAGTGTTAAAATAAATACCGTTCTAGAATGCCTGCGGAGGCATTTTACTCCTTAATAATGCATTATGCACGTGTTAGAAAATTTTACTCCGAAATTTAATAACATAGAACGTAACAAGGAATATCTCCAAACGGAGTTTTCTTAGAGGGTGAGAGGTTCTTTAATAAGACCTAATGATTAAAATTAACCGGACTGCTAGCGAGGAATCGAGAGTGGGAATAAAATAAAAGCGAAATAAATTCTAAGATAACGAAAAAGTGGTACAGAAAGCTAATGTCCTAACACGGAGTCTAGGAAAAACCTGTGAACCAAATAAGCAGAATGGCACCCGTGCATGAAGTGTTAAAATAAATACCGTTCTAGAATGCCTGCGGAGGCATTTTACTCCTTAATAATGCATTATGCACGTGTTAGAAAATTTTACTCCGAAATTTAATAACATAGAACGTAACAAGGAATATCTCCAAACGGAGTTTTCTTAGAGGGTGAGAGGTTCTTTAATAAGACCTAATGATTAAAATTAACCGGACTGCTAGCGAGGAATCGAGAGTGGGAATAAAATAAAATCGAAATAAATTCTAAGATAACGAAAAAGTGGTACAGAAAGCTAATGTCCTAACACGGAGTCTAGGAAAAACCTGTGAACCAAATAAGCATCCCGGGTATAAGTCACTTGTTTCAACCATTGGAGGATTGCATCAGAACAGATTTTATTCCAGCAATCTTGGGTAAGAACGTATCAGACTTGGACCGCTCCATATTTGCATTGCCAGTCAGACATGGTGGCCTAGGCATCTCCAACCCAGTTGAAAACTGCAATAGAGAATTCACAGCCTCAGTCTCCATCACAAAAGACCTCACAGACCTGATTATCAACCAGCAAAACACCCTTGAACATTACAACATGTCAATTCAAAATGACACTATAAAAAGTCTCAAGGCAATCAAGGAGAAACACTTATTTGAATATTTACGGTTAGCAAATCAATAGAGGACAGTGTAAGAGATCCCAACCTAAAGAGATCTCTCCAGTTCATCAAAGAGAAAGGTTCAGGATGTTGGCTTACTGCACTTCCATTGAAGAGATTTGGCTACTCCCTGAACAAGATTGAGTTCCGTGATGCTCTGTACTTGCGTTATGGTTGGGAGATCCCTAACACCCCATTTCACTGTGCTTGTGGAGAGAGAAATAATGTGAATCACACACTTATATGCAAGAAAGGTGGCTATGTTTCTATGAGACACATCAACATCCGCGATCTAAATGCAGAGCTGCAGCGTGAAGTATGCAGAGATGTAGTGACTGAGCCAGCATTGATACCCCTTGATAATGAAGAAATTGTTGGTACCAATGCTGATAGAGCTGCACCTGATGTATCCTCACGAGGTCTCTGGAGCACATTTGAACGAACATTCTTTGATGTCTGTGTTACCCACCCCAACTCACCCACATATGACAAAAAAGATATGGAACAGATCTATAAAGCTCATGAAATGAGGAAAATGAAAAAGTACAACAACAGAATCATCCAGGTGGAAAAAGGCACCTTTACTCCACTTATATACTCAACAAATGGCGGATGGGGTCCACAAGCCACAAGATACCACAAGAGACTCGCTGAAAAACTATCCCAGAAGAGAGGAGAAGACTATGCGGCTATTATGTGTTACATGCGCACCAGGATTAGATTCTCAATCCTCAGGAGCACCCTGATAGCGGTCAGGGGTGAGAGAGGGAGACGGCAATCGTATACATTGCCAGTCAGTGTAACTTCGTTTAACTTGATACCTGCTATCAAGTTAGGACTATGAATGTTTCTAGACACTATCCTTTTGATATTGAGATATTGGTATCTCAGATCACGTGTGCATCTTTCCTTTTTTTACGACACAGTAATTTATTGACACTCACAGCTATAATTTTAATCATTGAATCAGTATTTTTATCTGTGCTCTGCGAATGCATCACATGAATCAGTTTTTTAATCTATTAACTTATTACACATTTGTGCTCTGCTTTAGCATCACTTGACTATTTTAAAAAAATTGTTTGTTCAGGCCATGACCTTATAGTCAGCCAATTGGCCATTGCTATATTATGTGTATATTGTTTGAATATTCTTTTCTATAATACACATTATTTGAATGCACTTTAAACAACGTTTATCCATCGATTTAGCTGTTTCGAGTGTATGTATTTGGTTAAAGATTTTAAATGTGTTCGCTTTCTTATCTTTTAGATCTATTACTTCAGTTCATTAACTTAGGCCCTCCATGATCTGATATAGTCTTTACTCTTTGTGTATGTCAGAGGGAAATGAAACTCAAATTTTGCCCCAAATCTTTTCCTTGTGTTGGCTGCGTGTGTGTAATATATTTACAGAATGACCACATATAATTCAAACTTGTATTATATTATTATTAAATCTAAAATAGCTAATAATTTAATAAATTATTAACAGGCCCCTTAACGTGGGCAATAATATATGCTTTATAAATTATATAAACAAATTGCAGTCTATTTTTCCAATGTTGTTAAGTGTCTCTTTAGATCTGTTTTGGTGTTTTGTGGGAGTTCCCACATTTGTTGGTTGAGAATGCTCAATAAAGCAGTCAAGCATACATGATGCTTGACTGCTTTATTGACCCGGACAGGCACCGGGGGCAGACATCCCAACA